GTCATTCTACAAAAAAGATACTTGTACATGCATATTTGTTGCAACTCTATTCACAATAGCAAAAATATGGACCCAACCATGCTGCCCATCGAAGCTGGACTGGATAAAAAAAAAAAGTGGTACGTATACACAATGGAATATTATGCAGCCATAAAGAAGGACAAACATATGGACTTCGCAGCAACTTGGATGGATTTAGAGTTGATCATATTCAGAGATCTCCCACAGAAACGAAGAACAGAGTACCCATATGTTCTCACTCATAAGCGGACTTTGAACAATTATCATGATACTATAAGAAAGGGATTGGCAGTAGTGGGAAACTGCCAGGGGAGGGGTGGGGTGGGATTGGCAGCTGAGGGAAACTGCCAGGGGAAGAAGGGGCACACCTCATCAACAAGGGTACCTGCATAACGAACATTTATATACCTAACCCTGAATTGTACCCCACATCTTTAAAATAAAAAATAAAATAAAATAAAGAAAAGTAGGCTGTTGGCTGGGCACGGTGACTCAGCATGTAATCCCAGTACTTTGGGAGGTTGAGGTGAGAGGATTGCTTGAGCCTGGTGGTTCGAGACCAGCCTGGGCAACTTAGTGAGACCTTGTCTCTACAATAAGTCACACACACACACACACACACAACTAATTGGGCATGGTGGCGTGTGTCTGTAGTTCCAGCTACTTGTAAGACTGAGGTGGAAAGATTGCCTGAACCCAGCAGGTTGAGGCTGCAGTGGCCGTGAGCATGCCACTGTACTCCAGCCTGGGCAACGAGAGTGAGACTCCAACGTAAAAAAAAAAAAAAAAAAAAAAAAAAGAAAGAAAGAAAAGTAGTCTGTTACTCCTGATGTGCCTCATTTTTTTTTTTTTTTTTTTGAGTCAAAGTCTCACTCTGTCGCCCAGGCTGGAGTGTGGTGGCATGCTTACAGCCACTGCAACCTCGACCTACTGAGCTCAAGCGATTCTTCCACTTCAGCCTTCCAAGTAGCTGGAACTATAGGCACACGCCACCACGCCTGGCCAATTTTTTGATTTATTGTAAAGACAAGGTCTCATCAAGTTTCCCAGGCTGGTCTTGAACCCCTGAGCTCTGGCAATCCTCTTCCCTCTGCCTCCCAAAGTGCTGGGTTTGCAAGCGTGAGCCACCATGCCTGGCATCTTTATATACAAGCCAGTAAAGTCTAGGGTACTCAGTTTATAAATTAAAAATTCCCCCTTTTTTGAGTTGTAGTCCCACTCTGTCACCCAGGCTGAAGGGCAGTGGCACGCTCCCAGCCATCCCAGCCTCGACCTGCTTGGCTCCTGTGATCCTTCTGCCTCAGCCTTCCAAGTAAGTGGAATAACAGGCAGGTGTGTGCTACCATGCCTGGCTTGTTTTTGATTTATTGTAGAGATGAGGTCTCGCCAAGTTGCCCAGGCTGGTCTCAAACCCGTGGGCTCAGGCAATCCTCTCGCCTTGGCCTCCCAAAGTGCTGGGATTACAGGTTGAGCCACTGAGCCCAGTCTAAAATTCCCTTTGACACTCACACAGACACTGGAGGGCAATGTGCATTGTTCTCCCTTCCTCTTTCTTTTATAGAGCCCTAAGTTTATTTAGATTGTAACATATGTGGGAAAAGGTGGACCCTTTCCCCTGCCCCATGGAATAAATCATGCTTGTTCTAAGCCAGGCATGATAATTCTATTTCCCTGTGCTTATGGTTGGTTTAGGGTAGCGTGTGATCCATGACTTTGCCCTATGATAAATGGTAGGAAGGGTACCCCCCTTCTGCTTTGAATGAGGTTGTAGGAGCAGGTGATGCTTGTCACCGTGGAAACCTTTTTTTGCAATTATTTGGCAACAGGTTTAAGAGAAAAGCTACTGCAGATGGCAGAGTGGGCAGAGAGCACCTGGGTCTTTCATGACATCTCTGAGTGCCGCACCTGCTCTGGGACCATCTGAATGCCACCTGGATTCTGTTCTCACAGCTGAGGCAGGATGGGACAGGAGTGGGAGATGGGACAATGGGTGCTAGCAGTTTGGAAGAGATCCACGGAGGATCAGTTGGTTCACAAAACATCCGCTCCACTTTTACCAGTGAAAGATCCACTTGGGTTCCTAGGGCTCTAGTCCTAACTTATCTAAATGCCCCCATCACTGCAATGGTTTGCAAGGAGTCTGGATCCTGCGGGTGGTCAGATGGTCGATGGTTCCTCCTGACCCTTTCAGCCCAACCCTTGTGAAGTAGGTATTGTTATCCCATCTTATGCATAAGAGATGGCGGCTTAGAAAGATTGACTTGTCCAAGGTCAACAGCAGAGCTGGGAATCAAATCTGGGTTCTCTGCTACTGAGACCTGGGCTCTGCTCACTGCTCCCCAACTCACAGTTGCTTTCAAGACCAAACCTCATGACTCCCTCCAGACTCCATCCTTCCTCCTTATGTTTCCTGAAACAGTAATTGCCTGCTAATAATATTTAATAATAATAAGTTGCCACTCCCATAGACCCAGTTCAAATTCTAGTGTGAGTTCTGAACCGGGTGGTGGGTAGAGTCAGGAAAACTCAATGCATTGCACATGCACTTTGTGGAGAGGGAAGGGTGGTTTGTGGAGAGGAGATGCTCCACCAGTGCGGGACACCAGGGACATCAGTGAACTGCAACACAGAAGGCGATGGTCACAGCCTTGTGCTGGAGACTCTTCCTACTTGGGTGATTTGGTGATTTGGAGGTTTCCTGAGGGAGGCTGGGCTCTGGAAAGGGGAACCAAGGATTCTGGGCACAGAAAATGCTGGAGCAGAGCCCAGGGCCTGCAGCTGCAGGGTGTTTAGGAACCACTCACAGCAACTAGCTGGATGCCCGCCTTCTCTCCCTCTGCCAACTCTCTGTTCACTTCTGTAGATAATGCCCTGAAAATCCCCACAGGCCCTCAGGCCGCCTGGACTCGTGCCCCAGGATCTCAGTATAACTGCCCAACAGGCCTTCCTTTTTCTCCACTCTCCTGGGCATGGAGTCCCTGAGCAAGGTCCTTATCCCCACATCTGCCAGCAGGGCTCCCTGCCTTGGTACCACCCCACTGCCCCAGGAAGCCGCGAGGAAGTGCTGTTGGTTGAGCTGCCTGACCTCTCTGGTCTTCCGGCTTATCATCTGTGTGGCAGCAGAAGTTGATGCCAAGTGCTATGGGAACATGGCTGGTGAAGCAGGTGATATCAGAACTCAGACAACCAGGGCATGGAATGTGGCTCAAGAATATATATATATATATATATACTTATTTTTCTTGAGTTGGAGTCTCACTCTGTCACCCAGGCTGGAGTGCAGTGGCACACTCATGGCCACTGCAGCCTCGACCTGCTGGGCTCAGGCGATCCTTCTGCCTTGGCTTTCCAAGTAGATGGAACTACAGGCGCGTGCTACCATGCCCAGTTAAAAAATATACTAACATACAAATCAAGTCTTTCCACTATGGATGTAACGAAACCTCATGGAAAATATAGAGGGAAAAAAAAAACAACCCTGTAATAATTTCACCCAGGTAGGACAACTATTGTGAGTGCTTTGGACATTTTCCTGTCCTCGTTGTTGTGAAGTATAATAGATGTTACTGTTCATGCCTGTTGGAGGCTGAGGGGTTGTTATTATTACAGCTATGCTGTGAGAAAATTAATATACCATACAATGCATTCATTTCAAATGTACGATTCAGGGGCTTTTTAGTATATTCACAGAACTATGTGACCATCACCACATTGAAAGTGTTTTCATCACCCCCAAAAGAAGTCCTGTACCCTCTAGCAGTCACCCCATGGTTGGTTTTTTGCCTAACATTATTTTTACATGCAGCTTTTCCGGTTGCTGGACAATCTCCTTAGCCATTGTCTTTGGTGACTGCAGCCAAGACTTTAGGGTGGGGGAATGGTACAGCCAGATGTGTCCTAGATGGGTGGTGTGGGTGAGGGCTGCAGAAGCTCCATGAAGCAGTGAGGACAGAGAGGGAGAGGCAGATAGAGGGAGGGATGGCAGGAGCAGGCGGTGCGGAGGGACCCGAGCATGACTTAGGGTCGAAAGGAAGCAAAGCTCTGGAAGCCGGGCCAGCAGCACCGCTGAGCATTTGACGCGGAGGGGTGGAAGCTGGGGTGTTGACAAACGGCCTGGGGTGAGGGAAGCGGGGCCAGTAGCTAGGTCCCAGGAAGAGGCAGCAGCACAAGTCTGGGGAGAATTCGAGACGAGTTTGGCTTTGGACTTGGTGGACTTCCCTCTCTCCCGGCGAGTCCTGCATCCGGCAGTGGGATGCTGGGATCGGACACTCAGGAGGCCGCTGGGCTGCCGCCAGAGGTTTGGGAGTTAAGGGCGTGAGGGCCACGTGGGGGGCCTCGGGAGGCAGCGCCAATCCACGGTGAGTCTGAAGGAGAAAAAGACGGGCCGGGGAACACTGCGGTCGTAGGGAGGTGGACGGGGACGCGAAGGACCAGAGAAACGTCCTGAAGCAGAAGGCGGAAAGGGCGCCGCCCGGGCGCGGTTGGAGTAGCCAGGGG